GGGAATAGTATATTTTTTTGCAGGGCCAGTAACTTTTCAAGCTCACTATTAAATTATGCTTGTAGCCTGCGAAATCATCCGTTTCTCCTCACTCTTCGCTGCTGGGGACGTTTCGTGAGGAGGAATGTCTGCAACTCAGCGACAGAAATTCCATACTGATGACGTAAAATCTGTCCGGAATCCGGTCAGAAGCGCTGATTGGTCGACGGAGAAGTTACATTGTTTTAGCTATTGTTTACGAATGACAGACAAAAGGCCACAACGGTCAAATGTAAACGCCAAGAATCTCGAGCAAAACAGTCAATAATTGTGGAATAAACTCTTCTCTAGAAGAAGCGTTTGAGTTTTGCTGGAGCTCGTTGGCAGATGAACCAACACTTTACCAAAATTGACCAGAAGACACGAAAAATTAGACAAATTTGTATTTGGAACCCTATGACTACTGGATTTATTATGTAAACATTGATTTGCATCATCAGTATGGTATTTCTGCCGCTGAGTGGCAGACGTTCCTCCTCTTCAAACGTCCCCAGTGGCAAAGAGCAAGGAGAAATGGATGTTTTCGCAGGCTAACTTGCTTGACTTGTGAGTAAGGCCAGATCCAGTCAAGTCATCCTTCAGCCAAATTATTAACTAACACAAACAATTAGTTGGCCTGGGCAAGCAAAACACAAGACCTGCTTGCCCAAAGGAAGTGCTGGAAATCAAGTTCTCTTTATGTTCTGAGTGGGGTGTTTAAAGTAACACCCTACTCTTGTTACCCTCTTCATGCCTTTCCATATCATGCATACACTGTAAATCACTCTACCCACAACACCTCACCTTCTGTCAAGAACCAATAGTTCAGGTTGACTTATAACAATGCATTGCATTAAAGGTGAATACATGCACATGTAAACAGATTTAACTGGCAGACACAGTTACTGATGGACCCGCTAGTTTGCCTTGTGGACCAAAGACACATGCTCAAAATTGAGCATACATATTTCTTTACACTGAAGAACGCGTTACAATCAGAACTGCATCCGAGCATCATCAAAGCCTGAAAGCAGCCCAGAAGCAGCACCAAGATTTTCACTCACAGAGCTTCAGTAAACTGATTTTTCTGATGAGTCAATGCAACAACTGAACTGGGCATTCAAAATTACTATCCATAAGCCATCTGTCATCAGGAATTTGTACTCTCTTCCTGATTGGAATTTGTTTTGGAGTCAAGTAAAAAACGAAAAACTGCAAAACGATAAATATTATTGCCAAATTTAAATATTTCATTTTTGTGAGCATTTTTTAATGCTTTGAAAGACCTTCCTGGTTAACCAATTCTGGTCCAGCCAATATAGGAAATTGTATTTTAGAGACTCCAATTTTAATAATTTCACAAGGGAGAATGCCCAAAGCACTCAACATTCACTCCTACAGCACGAACAGTGTGAGTCCACCAGCTGAACCTCTGTATCCAGTACTTCCACATGCTACCGAAAACCCTGCACAGAGCTCCTCTCTTGTGCACAGAGAAACCAATTTTGGGTAAAGTAAGGTTCCCAACCCCGATGAGGCAGCCATAAATCTACAATACCATTTTAATATGGTAAAACGAAGACTGTACTCTATTAATGAAAACTGCCTTCTGCTTACAGTTTGTAGGTTTGATTTATGCAATACAGTCTGTAGATATTTTGGTGTGGTTGAGAGACCTGCACCGTGTAAATCAGGACATAATCATTTCCGCTTACCACTTGATGTTGACGGTGTTTGATCATCCACCACAGTAGAAGGTCCAGCAGCACTTTTTTCCTTTGTCACAGTGAATGCAGAGGTTGTTTTTGTAGTGAGTCGTTTTTCCATGTTCACAAATGATNCCCTGCACAGAGCTCCTCTCTTGTGCACAGAGAAACCAATTTTGGGTAAAGTAAGGTTCCCAACCCCGATGAGGCAGCCATAAATCTACAATACCATTTTAATATGGTAAAACGAAGACTGTACTCTATTAATGAAAACTGCCTTCTGCTTACAGTTTGTAGGTTTGATTTATGCAATACAGTCTGTAGATATTTTGGTGTGGTTGAGAGACCTGCACCGTGTAAATCAGGACATAATCATTTCCGCTTACCACTTGATGTTGACGGTGTTTGATCATCCACCACAGTAGAAGGTCCAGCAGCACTTTTTTCCTTTGTCACAGTGAATGCAGAGGTTGTTTTTGTAGTGAGTCGTTTTTCCATGTTCACAAATGATTCCACCTTCGATCGCTCCTTCTCCTCTATTTTCCCGAGCTCTTTAGCCTCTTGCTTCTTCTTTTGTTTCTCGAAAGCTTTCATTTTCCTCGCAGCTTCGGTTTTCTGATGAAGAAGACATTCTAATATAGCTTCTCTGTCGTATAAGAAGCCGTCTGGAGTGACGACTGGTTCTCGGCAAGGCTGAAGAGTCAACGAGCAACAGTCGAAACTTTTTACTGAATCTTTACCCAATCGCACAGCTTTACTGCCATATCCGGACTTCTGAGTATCCTTCTTTCGTTCGTGATAGGAATAAACTGTCCCTGCGGTACAATTTTTCGCGTGCCTTGTCATTATGGCAATGCTTCAAAGTTTTCGAACAGACGACGAAAGATGGCGGCAATAGTTTCGCCGTGGCGTGGATGCTAAGCGCGACGTGGCTCCTTTAGCAAGGGAGGGGTAAGATATAAAATAATTTTGAACATTTGTTTATAAATGCTCGGAAAATTTAGACATTTCTTCACTTAATGTTGCTAAAAAAACGCCTTAAAATATTTGCTTTAGTCGACGTACACTTAAGCTGTTGACTGATACAATTTCAAGTACTAACTTCGCCTCTTTGTTCCCCACCCCCACCCCGCCTACCACTCTCAATCTAAGATGGCTTCCCGAAGGTTGTTTCATGTAGCTCGTGGATTATGCGGGCTTCGTGCAGCGCACTCCAATCATCGTTTCAATCTTACTAGGGCCTATTGCTCAGGTAAGTCTGAAGTATCTTTTTTATGGTTACAATTTATTTCTTGCCAAGAAAACAACCAACAAATTGTCGCTTACGGATCAGTGGATTCAGCGGTACTTACGAAGAGTTTGGGGTGAATTATGGTAAGACAGTTTTGTGTGGATTTGTCCCCTTTGTTTTTCTCTTGGTACTTGAGGACTTCATAATTTATAGTAAGGAGGAGCAGTACATTAAGGGTTACTAATCAATCAGCTGTTTACCCCATGGGCCATTCCATTTTAGATACAACCCCTCCCCCTCTGCCCCCTCCGCGGTAACGAGGTAGTTTGAAATTTCCTAACCTTTAAAAAAGCTCGTTTTTTCCCAAATGGCTCAGCAACTGCATTGATAAATACATGTGTAATAGCTAATAAATAATTTTTTGCTTTTGTGGTACTTCCCCTCAGAAAATCTGTTGTTCAGTCCTACAAGACCCTACAAGCTTCAGAAATACCAGTTTTATTTTTAATTCCCCTTCATTAAATTTTATTGATTGTGGGGGGGGGGGGGGGGGTTGGCCTTGGCAAGCAAAACACAAGACCTGCTTGCCCAAAGGAAGTGCTGGAAATCAAGTTCTCTTTATGTTCTGAGTGGGATGTTTAAAGTAACACCCTACTCTTGTTACCCTCTTCATGCCTTTCCATATCATGCATACACTGTAAATCACTCTACCCACAACACCTCACCTTCTGTCAAGAACCAATAGTTCAGGTTGACTTATAACAATGCATTGCATTAAAGGTGAATACATGCACATGTAAACAGATTTAACTGGCAGACACAGTTACTGATGGACCCGCTAGTTTGCCTTGTGGACCAAAGACACATGCTCAAAATTGAGCATACATATTTCTTTACACTGAAGAACGCGTTACAATCAGAACTGCATCCGAGCATCATCAAAGCCTGAAAGCAGCCCAGAAGCAGCACCAAGATTTTCACTCACAGAGCTTCAGTAAACTGATTTTTCTGATGAGTCAATGCAACAACTGAACTGGGCATTCAAAATTACTATCCATAAGCCATCTGTCATCAGGAATTTGTACTCTCTTCCTGATTGGAATTTGTTTTGGAGTCAAGTAAAAAACGAAAAACTGCAAAACGATAAATATTATTGCCAAATTTAAATATTTCATTTTTGTGAGCATTTTTTAATGCTTTGAAAGACCTTCCTGGTTAACCAATTCTGGTCCAGCCAATATAGGAAATTGTATTTTAGAGACTCCAATTTTAATAATTTCACAAGGGAGAATGCCCAAAGCACTCAACATTCACTCCTACAGCACGAACAGTGTGAGTCCACCAGCTGAACCTCTGTATCCAGTACTTCCACATGCTACCGAAAACCCTGCACAGAGCTCCTCTCTTGTGCACAGAGAAACCAATTTTGGGTAAAGTAAGGTTCCCAACCCCGATGAGGCAGCCATAAATCTACAATACCATTTTAATATGGTAAAACGAAGACTGTACTCTATTAATGAAAACTGCCTTCTGCTTACAGTTTGTAGGTTTGATTTATGCAATACAGTCTGTAGATATTTTGGTGTGGTTGAGAGACCTGCACCGTGTAAATCAGGACATAATCATTTCCGCTTACCACTTGATGTTGACGGTGTTTGATCATCCACCACAGTAGAAGGTCCAGCAGCACTTTTTTCCTTTGTCACAGTGAATGCAGAGGTTGTTTTTGTAGTGAGTCGTTTTTCCATGTTCACAAATGATTCCACCTTCGATCGCTCCTTCTCCTCTATTTTCCCGAGCTCTTTAGCCTCTTGCTTCTTCTTTTGTTTCTCGAAAGCTTTCATTTTCCTCGCAGCTTCGGTTTTCTGATGAAGAAGACATTCTAATATAGCTTCTCTGTCGTATAAGAAGCCGTCTGGAGTGACGACTGGTTCTCGGCAAGGCTGAAGAGTCAACGAGCAACAGTCGAAACTTTTTACTGAATCTTTACCCAATCGCACAGCTTTACTGCCATATCCGGACTTCTGAGTATCCTTCTTTCGTTC